TATTAAGGATTGTGTTTATTGTTGTGAGAATGAGTTTGAGTATGATCATTATTATGCAAAATATAATAATATAATATGATTATGAGCACGAGTATGATAGTGTTTTCATGCTTATTATTGACCTGCTTGTAAACGTGATAAAAATGATTAATTAGATTGTTATTATGCTCATGATTATAGGTGTAGGTATGAGTAAGGGTGATAAATATAATAACGTTAGGTCCCTTAAATTGATGCAAGGACCTATAATTGACATATCCAATAAGCAAATGGATAAATGTCTCACAATGTCATTCTCATCTAGACTGTATTAAAGTTGCAGCGTTGCCTGAGCTTCATCAGTCCCAAAACGGGAATCGAGCCCAGATCCTCCATGTCAAATGACAACAAGTTACCATTCCGTCACACAGCCATGGCTTCTGGTGCCTCAAAGGGCAGAACTAGAGACAATATGTCGCCACCACACGAACGATCTTGATTAGATTCCAGTTCAGGGTGCTGATAAGATCCGGGCGAAGTCTAGAATCGAAGACATTTTGTGATATGCAACTAAATGCTTACTTATTTGATCGTAAGAAAATTCAACTATCAGACCTTAAATCACATGACTATGTTCTTATTCAAGTACTAATGATAGGCTCAAAAGTTACTCACATGAACAATTATGCTCATATTCACAATGCTAATCTACTCCCTACGCATAAACATAATTTTAATTACTAGGATAACACTACTCACAATTACTTTCATATTGTTACTATTAACTTAATTGTATTTGTCATAGCCATGTTAGCCATATTTATTATTCGCATCATCGTAAGCATGATTAACGTATCCATTTGATTTCGAATATTCCAATAGACCATCTATAAAAACTAATCTGCTTGCTTCGTTTAATTTAGCGGAAGTCGGCTTGGTAAAACTAATTTCGGTGCATTTCACAATTGGGAAAGATCTAGTTTACCTTGCAAGGCACATCGTCTCAGTGACGTTTTGTGGTGCATCAACAATGCTTTATAAGAAATGTAAGCCTCGGATTCTACTTTTCAGTAAGCGACCTGCGATGACTCCAATCACGACGGGACTAATAAAACTTATAAGTACTGGAATTATCATATTTATCAGTAGTAGTAATTTAGTGAAAGCAAAACAAAGTACAAGTCCCAAATTATGCAGGTGGGGCAGAGTGGAATTGAAAATTGTGTGTTATGTGGCTGCGTCTAGCATCTCGCAAATCATTTTCGCACTCAACTGACTCAGTGAAGAAGACATACTCACAGAAAAAGATTCATTTTCAACATTTTCTGTGCACATTTCATTAGTCGCCGCCATGTTACACCAAGCGCCAGCTGTCATTGCTCTGAGATAATATCTCTGCTTTGTTCAAGCGAAGAATTGGGCGCATGTGCACGCATAGTTATTTATCTGTACATCCGTCCGTCTCTGAAGAGGTTCCATTTTAGAACGAACCAAAACAACAAAGCATTCGACTTGTCAACTCGCATTGTTAGACTTCTTTTTGTACCCCATAAGGCATAAAAGTATGGACTTTACCAACTTTATTGTCCGTGAGCACACAGACCAGTGTTTTTCTGCTCCTCCAACAGAATGCTCGTTCACCCGGCGAGGCTGGTGTAAAAAAGGCAATTTCCGAAAACAATTCTAAACCCAAGCGAACCGGCGGAGACTGGACGCCAACGGTAGAACAGAACAATCCGAACAGTTGGTGTCTGTTTCCAGGACGCACTTGACACAAACAACAGGAGCTGCTCCACACACTTCGGACATGCACAACTCAGACATCCCAGTTCGACGTAAGCCTGTGCTTTCGAGTTCTCTTGCCATAAGCTATCACAAATTATCCTTTGTTAATCTGCACTTAATGCTTAGATTTATTGTAATGTTTCTCATTCGTAATTTGCCTTCCCAAAGAAAAGGGTATCCCAGGCCTCACAATGTATCCTTAACAAGGCTCGAAAAGGTTAGGGGTTTTGCACATTTTGTTATGAAGTTCTTTTTGATCACCCGGTATAAATTTATTTTATTGTAAATATTATGTTTGCATGCTCACATTATGGCACTATCAATTATTATGTAAATTGAACATAAATTCTTTAAATATCTAATAGAGGCATTATAAATATTTGTGGTTAAGTCGGTGCAAAAAGAGATGACGCTAAGCATCGATGAAAGTTAGGAACAA